AGGTTCCTAGGGGTCAGGCACCCTGACAGCCAATAAGGAAACTTCCATTTGCAAATAATGCTCAAAAGACATCTTAATATAGTCAGCCTGGAAAAGGGCTCTGAAATCTGAGAGCAACTGGCTCTTCCTGTATTGCCAAAGGGCAAGTGTCAAAATCCAGTATCAGAGGGTGAGATCTGTGTCAGCACGCAGGCCTTCACACCAGCTTTCTGGGTTTGGATGATTACTATTTTCTCATTTTCCCTGAAAGAGTGCAGGAGGGCTTGTGTGTTACTAAATGCATCTTTAACACTTTTGGGCCAATTTAGCTTTTAAAAATTTGCCTTTGAGGATGAAGGCTCCAGGGTAGTTGTAATTTGCCCCTTATAAATCCCTCTGTCCCAGAAAGAGGCACATTTCTAGGTGATTAGAGAACTTCAGGTGAGACTGTTACTCTGCTTCTGGCTTTATGCCTTAAAATATGACCTAAGGCAAGCTATCATTTCCCAGAAATGAAATATGTCATATGTTATTATTAAAGTGAACCAGCAAAAGAGCATTCTATTACAATAATGGGTTTTGTTTAAAAAAATTTAAATGTCAGATCCCCAAAGGAATAATGCATATTTGATACTATTATTGGAACAGCAGTACCAGTAATTGTATGAGGTACTTATAGTTAGCATTGTTCCTATAGTAAAGGGATTTTATGTAAACCTTTCAATATAATTATTGTGTCAGAGGAAAAGGAGAAACAGCATCACTCTTTATTTATGCAGTCAATATACTTTTAATGGGGGTGACTTTGTGTCAGTCATCAATCTAAGTGCTGGAGGTGCAAAAAACCAAAAAAATGACTAGAACATCTTCCTGCCTTCAAGGAGCTCACATTCCAGTTGAGGGGAGAGATAGAGCTACAACTAACTACAATACAGTGTCACAGCAGATATGATAGAGGTTTCAGTAAGGTCACGGAGTACAATTTCAGGAAACCATTAATTCTGACCGAAGGGGTCCTTCCTATCCTCAGTGGCCTGTTGCCGCTGAGCTGAACCTTACAATAGCAGCATGAAGCCCATATTAGGCAGATGAAACAGAAGGGGCAAAGGTGTAGCAGCTAAAAAAAAGGTATGGCACATTTAGGGCCTGGTGAGTGGTTTTGTGTAGCTACAAAAGTAAGCCTGTCAAACTAATACCAAATGATGGACTTTCAGGGACTAGTAAGAGTTAACAAAATCTGAATGATTTTTGAGCAGTACAATTTTACAAAATGCATGCATTTTACGTTATACTCTATAGGGCCAAAGCAACGAGACTAAAAGACAAAATGCTGCATGGAATAAAACTGTCATTCTCATCATGACTCATCCGTTAACTTATGAAAATACACTTACATCAAGAAATGCAAGAAAATTGCTCACTTCACGTGCTTATGGGAGGATTGAAACTAATTTTGTAGCATTAAAACCAATTTTCTGCTGAGAAAACATGTCACAGAGGATTGCATGAACCTTTATAATTATTAATAATATTTGATATTTCCATGTCACCTTTCATCCTGAGATCAGTCCCATACACACGGGAGCAGATAAGCTCCAAGGAAACAGAGATAATATTAGTATAGTAAGTCACAATGCCTTTCTATCTCCTATATCCCAGGGGATTTCTGGTCGTGTGTTTCTCTCACCCTTAGAAGTTAGTGCAGATAGTTGTAAAGCTGTGGGTTTTTTTTTTTATTAGTTCTTATTACAAGAAGTCTTAGGCTAAAAGTATGAGCTGCATCTTTCTGTTCAGAGCTCTCCTTGGAAGAACAGCTCTTGACATATTTGTTCCCCTACTCCTTGGATGCTTTGCTTACTGATCTCATCCAGCCGTGGGCTGTGTCTTCATGGATTCTTTGACTTCTTCAAGAGAGTAACAAAGCATCATCATCATTATCAATGTCATTGTCATTATTATCATCATCATTCTGCCAACAACTCCTGCCACTTTTGCTGATGATGAAATATTCACTCTACACTATTCCACTATTCTAAGTACTTTCTATATATGCATCGTATTAGCTAATTTCACACCAACATTATAGAGCAGAGTTGTCTACTAGAACTTGGATAGAAGTGTTTTATGTGTGCTGTCTACTAGCCACATGTGGCCACCGAGCACTTGAAATGTGGGCAGTGCTACCGAGGAATTGTATTTTTCTTTTCTTTTAAAAATTTCATTGACATAGCTACATGGCTAGCAACTATTATATTGGACAACATAGTGATAGCATCTGCTGGTTTACTATTATCTTTTAAAAACAAAGCTCTGTTTTCATAATCATTGAGAACTTAGGAAAACCTAGGCTGGGCGCAGTGGCTCACACTTGTAATCCTAGCACTTTGGGAGGCAAGGGCGGGAGGATCACTTGAGGCCAGGAGTTCAAGACCAGCCTGAGTAACATAGTGAGGCCCCATTTCCACAAGAAAATTAAAAAATTTAGCCGGGTGTGATGGTGTGCCCCTGTAGTCCTAACTACTCTGGAGGCTGAGGCAAGAGAATCGCTTGAGCCCAGGAATTTGAGGCGGCAGTGGGCTATGACAGCACCACCGTACTCTAGCCTGGGAGACAGAACTTGTCTCTAAATAAATGAATAAATATTTTTAAAAAAGAACTTAAGGACTTGTGTGAGTGAATGGCTCTGAAATATTCTTGAAGCTGTAAGTACAGAAGCTTCTTGACTCATAATTGGATACACCCTGATAAACCCATTGTAAGTTGAAAATATTGTAAGTCAAAAATACTTTTAATACACCTAATCTACTGAACACCGCAGCTTAGCCTGGTCTACCTTAAAGTGCTTAGAGCACTTACATAGCCTACAGTTGGGGAAAATCATCTAATACAGTGCCTGTTTTACAACACAGTGTCGAATATCTCATATGAAAGAGAAAAACAGAATGGTTATGAGTACTTGAAATACAGTATTTACTGAGTGTTTGGGTTTTTGCACCATAGTAAAGTCTAAAAATTGTAAGTTGAACCATCATAAGTTGAGATCATTTGCCCTTTAAAAAGAAGTCCCATATTCTACATTTGGAGAGCTTTTGGTCTACCCTTCCCCTACCCTGTTAAAATTTGATTTAAAAGATTTCTATAGGGTAACATGGAGCCTCTTCTAAACAAAGCACACTTACAAAAGATATGGCTGATGTCTTAAACTTCATTGTCATCCAACGATCCCAAGTGGTCTGCACTGATAAGCACCAGTCCATCTACTGAAAACTGGTATTCCAGTGTCTGATTTTCCAAAGGAAGATATTCTCCTCCACTTATAAAATGGAACATTGGAAGAGGGTTTTTATGTTTTGGGTGTCCAGGGAGGAACAGTCTTTAAACAAACTCAATTCATATTCGGCCCTCCTCTCCCTAAAACCACCTCCCCATTTCTCTGATTTGTGTGCGAAAATATGGGAATGAACTTCTTTAAGGCAAAGAAACTAATTGCATGACTTAATTACATTTCCACTTAAGCCACCCTGTAACTTAGATTGCTACCACTGCTAGAGAAAGAGAACTTAAGTAGCCCTTGGTTTGAACCATCTGTCGCAAAAATGTGACATATGTTTGCTTTGTTTACTCAACAACCGAGTGTAAACTGATACACCGAACTAGAAATCCGTGTATGGTGTGACCGTGTGTGTGTGTGTGTGTGTGTGTGTGTGTGTGTGTGTGTACTGGGGGAGGGGTGTCTGATGAAGGCATCAGTTTCCCCACACCTGCCCCTAAGGAACACGTGCACAGCAAACCAGGAACTCTGACCGGCTGGATGTCCCTAGGGTTTGGGGCGCGCACCGAGGCGCAGACGCTCGCTAGCGACTCCAAACAATGCGCAGCACGCCCGCAAGCAGCCGCTGCAGCTGAGGGGCGCGCCTGGCTGGTGTGCAGTTGAATGGAGAGCTAGCAACCCTCCTCCTGCCTCCTCCTCTCTCCCCGCCCTTACACCCGGCCTCAAACTTCAACCAAAGCCTGTGCCCTTTTCAATTAACCCCCCTCCATCAAAACGAGCGTTTCTTTTCTGTCCTCCGGTGGCGGCCCATTGTCTGGTCTGATGGGCTTGCAGATTTGACAGCTGGGCTCACACAGACTTGATTCAAACTCGGTTTCCCTGAGAGATGAACTTGGACATCCGCAGAGATCTCGCATACAAGCCCTGAGCGGCCGGACGGCCACCCACACCACTGCGGGCTGTTCCCCAGGCTCTGTCTCTGGACCCAGAGTAGACTTCGGTGACCCGGGCGCCCCCCAGCGTCCGGGAAGGGGAGCGTGGCCGGGGTAGGGGGGGCGATGAGCAGCACGACTGGGAACTAGCAGTCCCAGGGGTTGGGGCGAAGGGCTGTGTACGTATTGGGCTTTTTTTTTTTTTTTTTTAATTTACTCTTGCAACGGCCAAGATGGAGGTCAGCTTATAAATTTCCCAAAGCGAGGTCTGAGCGGGGTTAAACGCAGTGGGCTGGGGGCTCCGCTTTTGTCTCATCCAAGCTGGAGGAGAGAGGTAGCGACTGCGTGTGCGCGTGTGAGTGTGTGAGCGTGAATGAGCGCGCGCTGGCGTGGACGAACGGGTGGGCGCATCCCGCGATCGCCGCTCGGGGGCCTGGGTCTGAGTGTGTCTTTAACGCGCCAAGTCTTGAGTCACTGCCGCGAGTGACGTGGGGGAAAAACTTTGTGTCCGGAAGAAGGGTCTGGCTCCATTGCACTAAGACGAAAGAAAGAGCCCTTGTGCATTGTGCCCTTTTGGGTTTGTGTGTGTATGTGGGGAGAGAGCGAGAGCGAGAGCGAGAACGGGGTAGGCGTCGGGCAGTACCCGGCCGGCTGCGGAGCTCTGCGTGTCCTGTGCGCGCTTGCGGGTCCAGCCCCGGGTCCCCCAGCGAGCGAGCGTGTGCGTCTGCTGCGGCCGTGCGGGCGAGCTTCGGGGCGGGCTGGCGGTGCGCTGCGGGGCGGCGGGAGCGGGAGCGGGAGCGGGAGCAGGCTGAGGGTCCTCTGGCCAGGAGAAATCTGGCCTCGGCACACGCCATCCTCCGCGCCGCTTCCAATAACCACTGCCATCCCTAACGGGCATCCGAGCGGGGGGCTCTGCTCGGAAATCGCCCTGGCCCAACGCAGGCCTCCAACGAGCTCTCGAAGATTACCGCATCTTTTTCTCCCCTGCTAGCGCAGAGAAAGTGAGCCCGGAAAGGGAAGGAGGGGGCGGGGACACCATCCCCTAGGAATAAATAAATAAATAAACAAACTGGCTTCTCGCCGCAGCTGGACGCGGTCGGTTGAGTCCAGGTTGGTGGCATTTGTTGAGAGTTTTCTTGTTCTGCTTGAGAACCCGTGGCCGCTCCCTGCCCTCACCCCCCCCGCCACCTCTTTCCATCTCGCAGGCGTCCCCCAACTTTGGGGTCCAGGGGCGCTCGTGGCGCCGGGCTGCACCTGCTCAGGGACAGCGGGCCGGCGCGCTCGCCCTGGGCAGTGGTGTGGATGCGCCCGAGTCCTGGGCGCCCAGCGAGCGTGTGAGAGGCGGGGACACCCGGGAGGGAGCAGAGGACGCGTGGCGGGTAGGGGCGCACGAGCCGGGTTTCGGCCCCAGCCGGGACGTTGGTTCCCCCTCGCCCAGCTGCCGGTGCAAGGCGGCGAGCCCCGGGGAGTGTGGGGGGCGGGGGTGGGACGCGGGGGGACGGCGACAGAGGGTAGTGATTGGTGGTTTGGGTGGGGAGGGCCGACAGCTGAGCGAGCTGGCTAGCGGGCGCGAGGAGGGGGCGGCCAACTTCCCGGGAGAGGGGGCTCTCTCCGCGCCAGGGCTGGCTGGGGAGCTGCCGCCCAGGGCTCCGACTCCAGGCAGCGCTCCGCTCCGCTCGCAGCGCGCGAAAGTACCGTTTGTTTTTTAATTTGCTGGCGTTCAGCCTCCTGGGTTGCACCCCATAGACACCCCCTTGGACTTTGGGAGCCTGCGTCGGACCTCTCCAGCTCCCCTCCTCGAGTCAGCCGCCCCCCGGCATACACGCACATGCCCCCCCCCCCGCGCCCCGACTCGGGCGGGGGTGGGTCCTCACCGCCGCGTTGAAAAGTCCCCCAAGGCGGGAGCGGGGGAGGGGAGAGGGGCGGTGAGGGGAGGCTCTAGCGTTCTCTGCTCTCATTTCAAAGCGCGCTCTCCCTTCTAGGTTGGGTCGGACCTGAACCCCTAAAAGCGGAACCGCCTCCCGCCCTCGCGCCCGCCACCCTCCAGGAGCTGAGTCGCCGGCGGCGGTGGCGGCTGACGGACCCGGAGTTTCCTCTTTCACTGGATGGAGCTGAACTTTGGGCGGCCAGAGGAGCGCGGCGGCCCGGGGATCGCTGCATGCTGAGCTCCCTTGGAGAGATCCAGCGGCGGTTCGGGAATTTTTTTGGGGGCGGGGACCAGCTGCGCGCCGGCACCATGTTCCTGGCGACCCTGTACTTCGTGCTGCCGCTTCTGGGTAAGTCGAGGCCGCTGCTGGCTTTCTTACCCGCTGAGCCTTTCCCAGGGTCGCTTGCAGCAACCTCCACCCGCCGCTCCAAAATTGAGGCGCGGGTGTGGTGGATGCGGGATGAAGTTTCCTTTTGGGGAAGGGGATCAGGAATCCTCGGGCTAGGGAGGCGGTGGCGGCGCGGCAATGACTGCAGCTATTCGTGCTCGGTTTTTGTTTTCTGTGGTTTTAATGACCCAGCCTGGACAGGGGCTAAGGGGCCCCCAGCCTCCGGCCCTGCACCCCTTGCGAGTTCCGGGAGCTCGCTGAGGCGCAGCGGGCAGGTGGAGTGTGGGCGAGCTTTGGGTCGGGAGAGCAAACTTCGAAGGGAAAACTTTTCCCGGAGTAGCGTCTCGGCGCGCCCGGCCCGGCCGACCGCTGACCGCGGCTAGCCCGCCCCGCGCCCAGCACGCGCCCGTCGCCCTGCCGGCCACCGCTCCTCCTCGGAAAGCCTCCGGGCTTGGGCCGGGCCGGGCGCAGGGAGCGGCTGGAGCCGGGGCGGCCGGGGCAGAGGGCTGGCGAGCGCGTCGGACAGCGCGAGCTCCAGGACACGGCGCTCAAAGCCCGCGGGCTGAGCCAGCGCCGCCCTCTCCCGCAGGCAAGGAGGAGGGGATAGGGGTAGGAGTTCCCTGGGACGGGAGGATGGTGTCCGGGGTGTCGGGGGTGGGACCACTGCCTGAGCAGGGCGCCCCGTAAGGCTGGCCAAGCTATCCTCGTCGGTCCCGGGCGCGCGCCCTCCCCCGGGGCAGGGGCGTCGGGGTCGCTGCCCGGCTGCACTCAGGCTCCCTCCCCTCCACCCCGCAGACTTGCTCCTGTCGGCCGAGGTGAGCGGCGGGGACCGCCTGGACTGCGTGAAAGCCAGCGACCAGTGCCTGAAGGAGCAGAGCTGCAGCACCAAGTACCGCACGCTGAGGCAGTGCGTGGCGGGCAAGGAGACCAACTTCAGCCTGGCATCCGGCCTGGAGGCCAAGGATGAGTGCCGCAGCGCCATGGAGGCCCTGAAGCAGAAGTCGCTCTACAACTGCCGCTGCAAGCGGGGCATGAAGAAGGAGAAGAACTGCCTGCGCATTTACTGGAGCATGTACCAGAGCCTGCAGGGTACGCGCGGACCGACCCCCGCCCGCCACGGTCCCTCCCGAAGGCAGGCGGCCCCTCAGTCCCCGCGCCAGCTGATCTCATTCTCCGCTTGCTTCTCCCCAGCTGCGGAATGAGGACCTTTCATTGGCCCCCCAGGGATGGCGGCAGCTGGTGTTGGCTGGGGCCGAGCAGCATTGTTGGGCCTGATTGTTGGAAAACCCACGAGGGGGTGGGGGACCACCCTGGGGACCCCTCTGACCTCTCTGAAACCTGGTCGGAGCATCGGAGGAGGAGGAACCCACTAAAGGCCACCCAAGGAAACCACAACTTCTCTCCAAGGATGCCGGAGGCGTTAGCAGGCGGCACATAAAAATAGCAAGGCTTGCCCTGCCGCTTGCCGGGAGTTCCCCCTTTTTCTTCTTCCCTTTAACCTACTCTGACATAAGATAAAGAATTACAAAAGGCCCAGTAGAATCCATTCTATCTTTACCCCCCTCAAACCTGATCAAAGGCAGATGTGTGAAAAACCATTTGTCATCTTAGATTAGCTGAGTCTTGAACCAGCTGGTGTGGTTCAACCTTGGTTAACACAGAAGTAGCTCAGGGAGAGAAAGATACACTTGTCACAACCATCCATTTCCAAAGGGAATTTTTTGGTTCTCATGTGTTTGTAAATCTAACACAAACATCCTGTGCAGTCATTTTCCACTGAGGATTTGTAATATACAAATTTGACCTGTCAGCTACCACTTCTCCCAGAATCTATTAGTGAAAATCTATTTCAGAGGTGGACTGTTTAACAGCCCAGGGTACCTGCTTTCTGAGCGAATGCCATGTCTTGGGAGCAAACAGAAATGTGGGCCTCTTCTGGGTCACCCTTCTTCCATTGGCTCCTTGAGGCAAGCAGGGCTTGTGACGTCACCGGCTCTTTCCTCTCTAATTTCATTCCTTTGCAAAGAGTGGGAGAGTTTTCTGGCACCATCGGGCTGGGTTGTTCTCCAGTGTTTTCATGGCTCTCTGGGGAGAACAAGGACAACAAAGGCGGAGGGAATGAAGAGTCATAACCATAGCCAAATAGATGCATTTGCAGTCTTTGAAAGTTGCAGCATCGTTTTGTTACACAATCATAACATAATTAGAATTCGGATTCAGCAGCGAAAAACTGCTTGAAATATATGTTTTTCAGATCTGAGTCCAACCTTTCTGTTGTTTTTAGGAAATGATCTGCTGGAGGACTCCCCATATGAACCAGTTAACAGCAGATTGTCAGACATATTCCGGGTGGTCCCATTCATATCAGGTAAGCAGATTTATACTTCCACTCTGATGCCTTTGTCTGCTTGAATTTGTTGGCTTGCATTCTCTTTGGCTCTCAAGTAGTGTATAAGTAGATAGTTGAATGGCACAGTGTTTCTGGGAAATTAGAAATAGGATGATGATAATGAAGAGGCAGAATGCCTAGAGATGATTGTACGACTTGAAAGTAATTCTAAATGAAATAATGTGGTATGGTGATTTGGAAGAGGTGGAGGGAGGTGAGTTGGTTGAATTTTTTTTTTTTTTCACATTGAGATATGATTGGCCAGTTCTTGCAAAGGGAGTGCCACTTCTGTCTGTAGGTGGCAATCGTATTCTCTTCTTGCTGCATACCTTGCATGGTGCCTCCCTGGAAATGCGATCTGTTCATATGATGCCACTCATTTTACAAGATGCCTGAAGATAATCTTAGATTTTTGAAAATTTTTGGATGAACTCACTTGTCTGCCTTTGATTTAAAAGATTAAGCTCTACCATTTGTTAACAGTTCTTCTGTTTCTATTTTTTCTTGACCAAGTGTGTGTGCTTATAAGAGAATGTACTCCTGCCCCAACAGCCCTTTAAAATGTAATCTCACTCCCCCATGGTGTGTTTTGTCTTTCTTCATGGTTCTATGTGTGGTTTGAAAATGAACTTAATTTTAGAATTGAGTTTTTCGTAACATCTGCATTCAGACAGCTCATAAATAATGAGCAAGGCAATAATTTCTCTTAATGACATACAGATTCCAGACTGATGTTGTCTTTCTTTATTTACAATTAAGACGTTTTCTTAAGTACATAAGAAATTATATGTTTCTTGGTGGTTAAACGTGGTGGGTAAAGTTGAATTTGATTCTATGGGATGATGGTTTGTTACTGGTGAAAGTGTTCTGGTATTATACATGTTTTATATTTTCCTGCAGAAATGCCACAGAACCATGGTAGTGTGCAAATACTGAATATTATGTGTAGGAGTATTTTTTTTTTTGAGATAAGGTCTTGCTCTGTTGCCCAGGCTAGAGTGCAGTGGCATCATCATAGCTCACTGCATCCTCCAACTCCTGAGCTTAAGTGATCCTCCCACCTCAGCCTCCTGAGTAGCTGGAATTATAGTTGCACTCCACTATACCCAGCTAATTTTTAAAAATTTTTTTGTAAAGATGTAGTCTCGATATTGCCCAGGCTGGTTTCAAATTCCTGGCCTCAAGGGATCTTCCTGCCTCAGTCTGCCAAGGTGCTAGGATTACAGGCATGAGCCACTATGCTTGGCCTACGTGGGTGTATTATACACACATTCTTTCATTTGCCAAACATCCACCGAGCCCCTACTATGTTCTAGCTATTGTGGTTTTGGCAATGAACCAGTTACCATCTCTGCCCTCATGAATCTTCGAGACAGCCAGCAACTGACATTTACTAAGCTCTTATTAAATGCCTGGAACGGTGTTAAGAGCTTCATATCATTCACTTATAAAATCACCATCATCAAGTGCTTCTTAGGTATTATTATTTCCATTTTAGAGATGAGCAGATTGAGGCACAGTGAAGTTAGGAAACCAGCCCAAGATCACAAAACTCCTAAGTGGTAGAACAAAAATTTAAACTCAGATTTGTTTTGTTCTAAGCTTTTGTAACATCTACCCTTGCTACCTGGAGTGTGATTCTTAGCAGCATCGACATAGCCTGGGAATTTGGAAGAAGTGCAGAACCTCATTTCACTACCGAATCAAAATATGCTTTTAACAAGATCCCTAGGCTGGGCGCTTCATATGCACAGGAAGCTGGAGAAGCACTCCTCTACATTATTCTGTCTTTGGTTCAGAGGAAAAGTGTGTGTACGTGAGTCTGTTTTGGAATAAAATATAAGAATCCAGGTTTAATATTAGAAGAACTCATATGCCATCCTAAATAATGGCAATAATTTCGAGTCCAGATTCCTCCTGATACTCTCTGTGTCCTGGGTTCAGCTAGCACAGTGGCTTAAGCAGTGGAGGAGAGATGGAACTGGGATGGTGTGTGGCCCACAGGGTAGCAGAGGCCAACCTGACCTCCCTGCTGCCTTTGAGGGGTAGTGTCTCTTGCCCACTGCCTGCCCCATGGAATCCTCAGTCTTTGTACCAATTTTCATGGGCACCCACAAGGATGCTTTCACTCCCCATGGACATTGAGAAGTGAGGAAGCAGGCTAGGAAGAAGGGTGGGCCATTTGCATTCTAATTTTAGAATTGCCACGATGGGGTTTTTAAAAACTCAATTCCTCTCTCTTGGTCCCTGTTTTCTCATAACGACACTAAATACTGTCCAGTCGTGACAGCCCACTGATCTGAGGGGAGCTCGAGGTCCCCTCCAGCATCTCCCACTGTGCTTTTGAATCGCCTTTCAATCCTTGCAGTTATTTGCACACTTAAAATGGTGTGGTCCTTCTCAGACACCACTGGTTTGTCTGAATTTCTTTTTTGAGTGTCAGAAATTCTTCTTCATGGACCAGGTTTCATTCCCTCATTCACTGGCTCCCTCTCTCAGCCAGGTTTCTTTTCATAACACATATGATTCGGAATTTGTGAGACCCGTCCTGCGGAGAACCCAGAAGTCATAATGAATTTACCAGAGCCCGGAAGGCTTTGTCTAGAGCTCCATTTTATATCTCAAGGGCATTGACTTTAGGTTCCAGCACTAATGAGCTTTGACCTCTGACAGTGACTGTTCCTTAAGTGGGATAGTAAAGCCAAATGGAGTCTTGAGAGGTTTTAAGTTGTTGAATAATGCATATTATCCAGTTTGGCTTTTGTAGGATGGGGAAGGACGGAGGAGCAGGATGATAAATGTTGCTTATTTTATGGTTTGAATCTGAGTTTCTAGAACATCTTCTGCCTTGAAAAATCTCTCTGAGGAAACTAGGACAACAAGGTCTCTGCTTTTTACAGATACGGTAGCAATCAGAGTTTCCATATTTGGATTTCTCTGCTCAACGTGAAGAGTATGTTTATCTACATAGAGTAAGTGTGAGCTGAATCCTCACACGGAGCAAGACACGTTTGACCTTCTTGCATTTCCATTTTCCTTGGCTTCCTCAGACCCGCAGACCTCCTTGCTAACCAGATAAAAGGCCATGTTGAGGTATTTTCCGCAGCTTGGTGGGAATAAGGACAGGAACAAAAATAAGGTAGAATCTAAAAACTGTCATCTCCTTTCTGAAGACGAAACTGCAGAAGGGAAATCTGGTAGCCAGCTCACGTGAGAATTTCGGTGGGGAGGTTGGAGAACCTCCTCCCTGGAAACCTGACAGGAGAAGATGCATTTGGCCCCAAAGGCATTTTTAAGGGTTTGGAGGGGTGTGTTTTCCTGTGGGTTGATGCCAGTGTGGTTTATAGGGGTCTGGAGCATGAAGAGTCCGGCAGTGAGTACGCAGAGGGAAAAGTGAGCCAGTGCGAGAGGATGCGGAGGGAAGGAGGGAGCATGGGTGGGCGTCCTGGGAGCCAAGAGGGCAGAGCCCTGTGGGCGCCCAGAGGCTCAGAGGCCGGAAGCAGCGGTGTGGTGTTTAACATCTGCAGCTCCAGCCTCAGCTCCCTGCTCTTTAACCTCTGTTCTTCCTCACAACAGTTCCAGAAACAGCAAGAAGTAAATAGTGATTTGAAATGGTGATGAGCCTGTTGGCTTTTTTTTTTTTTTTTTTGGTATATGTGTGTGTGTGTGTGTGGTGGTGGGGGGGTTGGGAAGGGTTCCAGAATCTCTGGAGGGGGAGAGCAAAGCAGAGAGAAATTTTGAAAGTAAAGTTGGTGCCAAGAAAAGCCTGAGGATGGAGGATCAGAGGGAGGATGTAAGCACCTCTTCGGCAGCCAGAGAAAAGCAGGGCTCCAAGGTTTAAAGCCATCGATTGGGAGATTGGATTTTATAGAGAAAAGTCAAGGGATGCCAGGCCTTCCTCGAATAGAATCAAAGTTGATGGTACTGCATACAAGACAAAGCTCCAGCCTTCTGGCTCTGTTGTCATTTACCTTCTAAGTCCTAGAAGTGGCTCGGACCTTCCCAGGAGGACTTAGGACCTTGAGATCAGTTCCCAAGTGATTGGAAATGGTCTGCTCCAGGATGATAGATTGCCTCGACTCTCTTTTGGGTCTGGCCCCTTTTTCTGAATGATTAGGCATGTTTAGCATTTCTGTTTTAATTACCTATTATATTTATGTCATTATTTTAAAAATATGTATTACTAAACATTTTGCATGAGCCCAGTGTGGTGGTGCAGACCTGTAGTCCCAGATCCTCAGGAGGCTGAAGCAGGAGGATCGCTTGAGCCATGAGTTTGAGGCTGTAGTACACTATGATTGTGCTTGTGAATAGTCACTGCACTCCAGCCTGGGCAACACAGTGAGACCCTGTCCCTAAAAAAAAAAACTGTTGCGTGTTGGAGATGAACCTTATAACACTATCTGCTTTCTCGTCAAGTCATGATGAGAGAGAAAGGATTGTAAATAGCAGCTGTTAGGGTGTGGTGGTCCTTTCCTTTCCACTTAGTTCTTTAATCATGCTGTTTCTGTATTTGAGCAACCCCATTGGTTTCCCATTACTTACACTGGCATGTGGTAAACTCTGTAGCAGGCCAGCGGGGCCCTACACAACCCTGCCCTCTCCACTCGTGCTCACTGGGCCAAACCATTCCCCAGGTATTTCACGTGCATTCACTTCCTGTGCCTTTTTGCACATGGCCTTGCCTTTGCTTGGAAACGCTCTGTTAGTTCTTCAAGACCAAGATCCAATTTCATCTCTGAGGGCCTTGCTGGAACTCCCCCAGACAGGCACTTCCGCTCAGGACTCCCTCATGGTGCGCTGTGCTCTTGCCATTCTGTTAGCTGTTAATCACAGTGAATCCAGAGGACTTATTTATGTGTCTGTCTTTCCCACTGGAAAGCCCAGACTCGCTTGTTATGCTGGGTGTCTGCTGAGCGCTGAGCATCCTTTCTGGTCCCATCATCCATGGGGGTTAAGTGTCAGTGAAGAGAGGTCCT